ATGTATCCAACTAATCCTTGACTGTCAGGTATAAAATATGTTATTTGACTGTTAAGCTTTTTAAATACAAATATAAGGATTTTTCCATTCAAGCCAGGAGGAACCATTGATTGCTCCTCAGGTATTCTTATACAGTCATTAATGTGTATACTGTCTTCAAGTACTTGTGGGTAAAAGTAATTTTATTTAACCTTTATCAACTGTACATCATGTCTTTATGCATTGTCTACCAGGCCATGCATCACACTAACATACTACTAAACTGTTAATCCCAGAGTTAAAATCTGGCCAGCATCCCCACAGTACTATGGTTTAAGCCCCCAATTCCTGTACATTAAGGTTAAATACAAATTGCTGTGATGTATTGTAATAGTTACCATGTGCATAAAGATGAATGACCAGTGTTTGTGACAGCTAATTAAAGTGAAGATAAAAGTTTCTGAGCATTGTTCAGTAGGCACAGTATTGTGCCATTGCCTGCTATTGTTTTGCCTTCGTCTTTTGCTTTGTTTCCCATATTTTAAATGTATTTTTGTCTTTTACCACTGAAAAATATTCTGTATAACCTCATACTGGGAAGTTGACATTCAGATTTATTTGTCACAGATTGTGTTGCTTCTCTATCTTTCTCCCCCCCCTCCAAATGTTGGTTTATGCATTATTTTGTAAGACTATATCAACTGCAGATGATGATGTCATACTGTCTGTATGATCAACTGGAAATGGAGGTGGGCATAGGCTGTTTTGTAGATACTTGGAATTTGCTTGAAGGACTGAGTAAAACCATAAAAACCTTTAGTCAGGATAGATAATACCTTGGCTGAGACCTGGTGACAGCAGGTGAAAGAACACAAGTATTTTATTGTTTAGAAATTTTTTTTTTACAGTCAACAGGATTGTGCTTACATGTTGTCTTTGAGTTTGATCCATTATGTTTTTCTCTTGAACTTGTATACATCAGAGCTTTATAAATTTTTTTGCTGACCTAATGTTTAATTTATTTATATCTGATAAAGATTTTTGAATGTTTATTTCAAAACCATTAGCCAAAGGGACTGAGTGTGTGTGAATTTGTTGGATGTTTGGAAAACGAATTTGAAATGTGATATATTATAGGCTAATATGTTTTTGCTCTTGAACTGTGTCCAAGCAGGTTGATGTAATAATAACACTCTTAGGCTTGTAGTTGGGATGAACCTGGATCAGATGTTGGCTGGCCGTCCTGACTGGGGTGTTTTGTGGTTTCATCGTCTTTTTATTAAAATTACAACATATTACCTTCAAACTGGACATGACCATATCCTTCCAAATCATTACATTCTTACTATAATGATTCTCCCATCTAACTGGATGCTGTGTAACAAATGCAGTTGAAACAACATTGTTCAATCTTAGAATCAGTCATCACAGACTATCATCATTTTTTAATTTAAACAGCATTTGCTAAGTTTAGTTTACATTTGGAGGTTTTATTAGTTCTTCTGAAACAGCCTAACAGTTGGCTAATAGCAGTGGGCAGGGACTTTCGTTTGTACTGCAGAACGTAATATATTCTGCAGTTTGCTTAGCTTTGGCCATCTTGAAGCGATAGAGTTGAGTGTCATGAATTTGCAACATTTTGTCCAACTTCTGGTATTGTAATTATTTATTTTCTCCATGTTGCTTGTAGTACTGATCCTAGTGGCTCTGCGGTATGTAGTATACACAGTTTCATGCTGAGAGGATGCTTGTATTGCAGGTTTCAATCCCACCTAGTATATGGATGTTCTTGTATGTTTATTTTTGTCTTAACCAGTCATCGTACTTATTGCTATTATTCCCTAGATTTGACGTTTCTGTTATGAGCTGCCTCTCTTCTTGCAATATGGAAAGAAGGAAGTGATTTCTGTGGTTAAAAGAATGTGGGAAAACTGATCTGAAACAGGAAGGGGCTTGTGCATTTACTTTTCGGTACTATTCTGTTCTTCATTCTGCTGTACTTCGTTTATATATGGTAATTCATTTGAGTTTCAGCAGGTAAAAATTGATGATACAGAGTTTGCATTCTATGGTACAAAGTATGGAATTGGTATTTTAGTTTTCTTAATAAACCATCAATCTTAAGTATTTTAATATTCTGAAAATATCATCAATCATAAATGAGAATATATCATGCCAGGGTACACAATATCTGGGTTTATGTTTAAGTTTTCTTGGTTTAGTCAGTGTTGAAAGGGTGACAGAGGGCTTTATAATATTTGTAACAATTTTCATTGTAGTTCGTATATGTTATTTTATTACAACCATCAGATAACTTTTTTCTTTTCACCTTACATGTTTTGGCCAGCTTTAGACCAACTTCAGGGATCCCTCCATCTGGATAAACACATGTTTGTTGTATCCAAAGTCTATTACATTTTTAAAATGTTCACATTTAGCATTCAATGCCTAGCTCATATTTTATGCACCATCTACTATTCAATCATTTAATTAATAATAATTATGAACTGTTCACATTCTAAAACCATTGACATTTTAATTAACTTATTAATACTGCATTAAAACTTATACCCTATTTCTCTTGTCTACTCTGTTTTTTTAAATGATAGAAATTTAAAATTAATAGTGTTAGGAAGTAACAGACATGTAAAACTTATAACAGATATAATTGTTGAGAGTGCTTAAGATTATCTGAAGTGGGCTGAGGGTGGAAGGACAAGAACATTGGAGATATTTGATGGTTGTAATATAATATATCCTGAACTGAAGGATTTTGAATATCTCTTATAAATTGTAAAGCTTTTCAAAACTTGTCAGTTTATACCAGTTCTCAATCTTTTTGGACTTGGGGCCACATTCACACTTTAATACTGACTCAAGGGCTAGAGTGTTGTATGTGGCAACAATTTATTGAACTTTGACAGTTCATTCAAAATGCTGTGAACATTATGTTGTAAATTTTTTTAACACATGTATTTTTATTCTTAATTAACTAAAATTAAATGGTTAGTTTAGGCAGTAAATATTTTTCCTATTATGCAAGATGGTGCGATAGTACAAAACCGTATGCAGGGCATACAAAAACATCAGGAAGGGCTGCAGGTTGAGGACCCCTGGTTTATACTGTAAGAATTCTCTTTGCAGATCTCATGTAAAGAAAAGTGCATTAAGGAAGTGGTATAAGGCAGTTTGTATTTACTATTTCATGCTTGTATTTACTGACAGGTTTTGTCAGAACATGGCACCGATTCTTTCAGAAGCTGACATAATGTTAAATAAATATTTACAGTTTTTATTCTGAAGCATTTATTTTGCAAAGTAAATCTAGTACAAAAATAACTGTGCAGTTTTGTTTAATCCTTTGACATAACTAAATGGGTCATGGTAAGGTAGGAGAGTCCGACCAGTATCTGATAGAAATTATGGATAACTTTGGAGTAGTTTCTAGAAAGAGGTAAAATTACACAGAACACTAAGAAATTTAAAAATGGGCTTAGTTATGAATTTGAACAATACCTCTGCCATACATTCTTGTACCAGAAATGATTTTAAAATTTTGAAATTCAGGAATCAAGGCAAGAGATTGCCTTTCAATATTTTATATTTGAACAATACCTCTGCCCCACATTCTTGTACCAGAAATGGTATTCAAATTTGGAAATTCAGGAATCAAGGCACGAGATTGCCTTTTAATATTTTATATTTGAACAATACCTCTGCCCCACATTCTTGTACCAGAAATGGTATTCAAATTTGAAAAATTCAGGAATCGAAGGTAAGAGATTGCCTTTTAATATTTTTGAAAACAATGTATATTTTGGAGACCATTGTCTAATTTTTAACTGAGCAATATAGCTTGTTCTTGGTTTTGATGCATCACTCCCTTTTTTAAAAAGGATTCTTTAAAACTGAACTCTGTCCAAATTCCCACTTTAGTTTTAATTTGGGCTGTACCTGCCTCATAGGTGATTTAAGTATTTACCATAATTGTACTTAAAACTTACAGGGATTTTTGTGTGTATGTATGGATTTGTATGTTTTGTATGTAGTAATTTGTTCAGATTTCATATGTCTGTCTGGAGTACAGAAAATTTAAAGCCTGTTGCTGTTTTATATAAATGAGTCAATACTTTTTTTTAAATTGTGCTATTTGCCAAACCAATATAATATGTTATAAGTGATATTGTAATTTGTGACATAAGCACTGACATTCCTTATCATATTATTAGCAATATTGTTGAAGTGCAAGCTGCACTCTGTTGGTCATGATTTTAAAGAAAATGTTTGTGACATTTCTCACAAAATGTGCCTATGTTTCAATAAATTAGTATAAAAGTTATTTGGCTGGTGCATAAATACTTATTCAGGCAAAGAGAATTTGCTACTGAAATGAGATTATCCTCTGTCCATACAACCGTCTAGTTTAACACTTTCCATGATTTAAAAAAGAAATTGTCTCACTCCTCCTATCCCCTTGTTATTAAGAACGAAACATGGAAAGGATTAAATTAGGTAGCATCCACTTCCTCTCCACTTCTACACTGTTACAGTTTGTTTAGTGCTATGTATGTTTGAAGTAAACCAACTTTTGTACAAAGTTCTTTGACCATTTACATATTATGGAATTTAAGGTTCACATACAATGAATGCTAATTTTAAAACATACATCCTGTTATTTATTATTTAACAAATACAATTATTTTGTACTGTGCACAGATCAAAGATGAACACATGAAGACTGGGCTTTTGATTTTATATTGTTACATACGGTGTATGTTTAACACTGGAATAGTGGCGATGGGTTTTCAGAAAGAAAAAATTCTTTGTACAAAGAATGTATGGTCTAAGGTTCTGAATTACTTATACCCCATTTAGGATAAACTTTAAAATAGTTTTCTATGACAGGTGGGTGGACAGTTTTGTACTATGGTCACTTGCATCTGGAGCCATTCCTGGCACATTAACCCTTTCTTGGAAACAACAAGTTAGCAAATGTGCACACAGTCTTAACAAATCTTATGTATTCACTCTTTCACCTCTGTGTAGTCAATCCATGAAAGCTAACTTTGGAAACTGTCTTGTAAATAGGTGGGATGGATGCTCAAGGACTTACAAAATATTTTCAGAATTATTCCAAAACTTCTCAAGCTGTGAAGTGACAAAATAAAAATCCCTCTTATTTAATCCTCTTGAAGGTTTGTTTTTTGTTTTATTCTACAATTTAGTTTGAAACATTTCTGACTAATAAATATTAAGCAAATTACATTGTGTGTGTAGAAAATGCATGTATGCCTTCATGTAACATGACCTGCTTTTATTAAAATTGAAGTGTCTCAGTGAAATTTATGGCATTCCCCAACTTCAAATTACGTGAATGTACATTTAGTGGCTTTTGAGTTGTTACAAATGGGCAGTTGGACATGGTAAAGCAAGTTGGCTTAACAGACGGAGTTTAGCACCTTTTCCTTTGGAGTTGAGTGTGGCAAAAATATAAAGAAAGATATTTGCACTGATTTGTAGGCTTATCTTTCTACCCATTTAAATAAAGTGAAGGCAAAAGGTGGACTGAATGGTGTGTATGTAGTGTGTCGGTATGATATGTGAGGTTTTTCAACTCTGAATGTTTCAACACTGAAGACGGTGGCTATACGTTAATCCGAAACGTTGGTAACTACCGGTATTATTTTCCGCGAATTTAAAATATAGATGGCAGTGTTGGTCTGTGCCGCGATGTGTCGAGACTCGTGTCGATAGTGCATGTAGTGTGGGAATGGGAGATTGTAATTTAAGGGATGCGAATGTTGTGGAAGATGCTAGTTGTGGCGATTAACAGACAATGAAAAATGGTTATTTTCCTATAGAGCAACACGTAAAAGGCCAAAGGACAGTTCAGTTTCTCTTAATTTCATGCAATTTCGATGGATTTAATACATTATAGGTACTAGGACGAATTCATGCTAAGTATCTTCATATTCAGGGTTCCATTCCAACCAAATCTAACCTGTGAAAGGTACTTGTCCTAATAATGATTACATTAACAAGAAAAATGAAAAAAGAAAATGACGGTCATAGTGGCTCATCCACAACAGAATCAAGCAAGCGGGTGTCGATACGGGACAAACTGTTGGTGAAGGAAGTAAGTGATTTCGTACAGTTCGTTAATGGAGTATAGAGTTCATATAACTTGCAGCTGAATGCAAATGAATATAATTTCTCGAAGAAAATGCTTCGAATTAGTATATTCAACGATACCGAGTGATGTGGAATATTTTTAAATTTCTAATCGTTTCCGTGGATGAAGTTTTGATAAAGGCCGGATGTTGTGTCGTTTTTGTGTGCTGTGATGCGACAATCTTAGAAGTGAATGAATAGTGCCATAATATTGTTAGTGAAGCAGTGCATTTATTCAGTATGTTTTTAGTGAACCGTGAACGAGGTAGGCTGTTCCTCTGCACCTCTAACCTGCCGAAAAACAGCCTTTGCTACGTACCTTATACTTATTTCTGCATTGACCCTTGTGTCTTGGCAGCAGTGCAAGAATGACACAATATCCATTATTATATAAACAGCAGCAAGAGTTCTAAGTAAATGTGTAATTTTCTTACCAGGTTCAGGAAATGGAACAAACGTTACCAATCACTTGTAGAGTCCGATTTGAAGACCCACATCAGCTACATGATTTTCACCTGACTGTAACTCCTGATGAAGGGTTTTGGGCTGGAGGGCAGTTCTGGTTTCATATATTTGTTACTGAAGATTACAATATGGCAGTAAGTACAGTATGGAAAATGTATTATTTGCGCTAGGTTTTCAGTTGATGTGGGGTTCTAGTGTGGGACAGTATGATTTTTAATACTTCAGCAGTATGTCAAGTGTTTAGTAACATCTGAGTGCATGTTTGCACAAATATTTAGTACTTTGATGTTTACAGTGATTCTTTGTGATTTTCCTCTGGTGTTACTCATTGAACCCTACATGTAAGAAGGCTGCTTGGGTTACCTCAAGAACTCTTAAATACATTAATGTCAGGTTTTATTTTGCATATTGTTTCATATGGGTATTTCTTGTAAGAAATTAGTCCATATGCCATTGCACTTATATTGTTAAAAATCACACATTTCTCTTCTGGAAAATACAGTGCAGAAAGTGTAATTAAACTATCTGTCATTGATGCAACTGACAATGGGAATAAAATGGCTCTTGGATTCCCTCCACCCATAACCCATCAGTATGGATGCTCTTTCTTAGGTTTATGTTTTATTAAACTTTTCTTTGTTTCAAGTTCCTCATAAGGTAGATATGTTTTTGTATAGCCACCATTGGTGAAGTGCCTAACAAAGCTATGGCATCCCAACATCAGTGAAGATGGTGACATCTGCTTGAGTCTTTTACGTCAGAACTCTATTGATGGAATGGGATGGGCACCGACCAGAAAACTCAAGGATATAATCTGGGGTCTCAACTCTCTGTTTACTGTAAGTTAAATAATGTGTGAGATACATTTCAGTTACATTTGTGTAGACTGTTGTTTGTAGTGCCATTGTTCTGATATTTTGATTCCCATATCATTCATGAATCCTTCAAAGATCATAACACCAGCACCATGACCTAAATTTATGTAATACATGCCCAGCGCCTGTGTTTGAAGCTGAGCGTGAGCCTGTAGTGGGGGTTCTTTGTTCATTTAATGGTATTTTGTCTTAGTCATATTTGTTATGTAGTGCCAAATGAGAAATGATGTGATAAGAATGAGTTTCTAATGATGTGAAGATAATTGATAACTATTTTAAGGCACTCCCAGTAATTATCAGTATTTACTAATGAAAACCATGAGTCCCATGGTCAGTTTAGCTGGTGTCTGGGTTAAGATTCAAACCTTGTGTGTTTGTGTATACACAGCATGAGTGGTAACTACTACACTGAGGCACTTGATGCTATATCCACAATTGTTATACAAGAAATTTTAAACTGAGCAGCTAAATGAAATGAAGTGATAGCCTAGGAGATAACATTAACTAAATCATGGAATCTTTTATTAGATTTATGCACACAAATGTGGCTTCAAACAACAAAGTATTTGTATGAATGTTGAAGAATACTTTTTGATTTATCTTAGAGACATTGTGGATGTTTTAAGTGTTTATAATTAATGAGTTTCCTGTTTGAATTGCAGGACCTGTTGAATTTTGATGATCCCTTGAACAGTGAAGCAGCAGAACTTTACCTCAAGGATAAAGAAGCCTTCCACAGCAGAGTGAGAGAATATGTAACACAGTATGCCAAGAGATGAGATAATTGTTATAAATTATTCATAATTCTTTTGGTTCCTAACAGTTGATCTCTGGCATCTTGTCTTATGTGACATACACAGACACATTTTATACTGGTCGTTAAAATTAAGACTTAATTAGAGATGGTTGAAATCCTTATCCCAAATGAAGGTATTAATCAAAAAATAAAGGGTCAGACAGAGATATGAAAATATTTATGCCCAGTAGGTTACACATTTTTTAATTTAAGTTTTATTTTGAGAGCTGCATAACAGCACATTGTTATAAAAAATGTGTAGAATGCTAGAACAAGTGGTTTCTGAACATTATCACATAATGAGCAACCTATTTATGAAATCACAGTAGGAAAATTTGCATGCAGTTCTCCTCCCTAAAAAGGTTGTAGCATTGTGCCCCTTCCTCTTCTTCCACACTCACTTGACTTGGCTCATCCCTACGCAGCTTAACATTTTGACACCCAGAGAGGACAGTTTGCCCTCATATAAATTTAAAATCACTTCCATTCAAGTTTTTTGCATGCCATAGTGATTTCCCTCTTTGACTTTTCATTTTTTGTGAGGGGCACTTGGTGCATAAGAAAGTTAAATGTGACACTGGTTAGATTTGCAAGCAAAATTAATTTTTACATGTAACACTTGGAGGAGACACTCTGTCCCTCAGTAAAATGCTTTCAGATTCTGCAAATCAAGCTTCTAATGGTACCATGTGGGAGGCAACAGATCCTGAATAGGTGTATGGTGTAAGTTGCTGTCATGGTAAACAAACAAGAGAGACAGATATGTGTCAGTAGACATGAGCTAATGCAGTTTGCCCCAAGTATAATCACAGCTATGAGTTGGCAGCAATTCTTTAACTTTGCTTTGTCAACTAGATCATAAATTTTGATAGTTCATACTGTGCTTTAACATAATATGCAAAGAAATGATCAAATTGTTTGTTTGAGTCAAAATCTGTAATGGGCAGACACCTTTGATTTAGGACTGTGCCTCAGCACATTCCTTAGAAATTATCTTGGTGCATTATAGATATAAAGGATTGTTGCATATGAAACACACATATGATGGTTTTCTCTTGTTGGATGGTGGACATAGCAAGTTTATCCACGTGCTTACTCATGGTATAGATGAGAGTGGCCAACTAAAAAGATTGTGTAACCAGTGACATGCGGTCTTCCAGACCTCCACCAAAGTAAATTTCCCAATACAAACCACATCAAACAACTAATGAAGCGAAAGAAATATCAGTAGATGTATAAAGAAATGTAAAAGGTGCTGAGAACAGCAGAGTGCTACAAGCCATAGCCAGATATTGTTTCTGCTGCGGTCTCCCAGATCACACATAATCTAAGCTTCCCTTACTGTTGAAATGGTAGATAATGTTGAGAAAAGAGGTACTATTGTGAGACTTCTTGCTAGTCAAAAACATGATTTGACTTTAGGAAGAAAATAATTACATACTAAGCCAAATAGGGAACACTGACAAAACTCCAGTATATTTTGATATGTCATCCAGTTGATGACACAGGTGCAAAATCTGTTATTGTAAAACATCAGGCAATGAAAAGACGTGACTATTGTTGACAGTATTGGCAGATAGCATAAAACTACCGACATATGCCTAAAGAGATGCTGCCAATAATAGTGTCAGTATATTGGATGGGTGACTGATGAGGGACTGGTTACAAGTTGTTTGGAACAGGAGACCAGGAGTGTTATTGAGAAAATAAGGAATGCTGGTGCTGTATACATTTAAAGGTCATTTAGTATCACCAGTCTGTGATTCATGCAATGATTGCTGTCTTTGTTGTCATACCTAGAGGGATGTCCTCATTTTAGATGTTGTAAATAAAACTTTAAAGGATCATTTTAAACAACTGTATTTTGAATTGCTCTTCTGAAACCTACTGGGAAATTAAGGAAGCCCAGTGTTAACAGCACTTCTGTGCCATTGTATCAAGACATCATGGCAATGGATGTGTCCAGAAGTGATAGTCAAAGTATTTAAAAGGTGCTGCATATCTAATGCAATGGTTGGAAGGGAGGATGTGGTTGCCATAAATGCTGTTGTGGTCTACAGTACTGTCATGAGAAGCAAGATATCCTGAATTATCTTCAACAGAAAACTTGCAGAGGACTTACAAGAAGAGTATATAAAGACTTGACCAATGCAGTTTCATCATTTCTTTGGAACCAGTTGTACTTCCATAATTAAAGAAACATAATATTGTAAATATGTAATATATTGATGGATCATAAGAGAGAAAATTAATAATAATATGTCAAAAAGTAATGAAAATAAAATAGAAAATTATTATAGAAATTAAAACAAGAAAGAAATATAAAAATAGGAAAATATATTTTCTACTATTCTCTTTCAACCAGGAGTCAGCTCTTTTCATGCTGGGGACAAATTGTTCACTTTGGTCATTAGAGGGGGTGAGGTAAGTCTGGGCATCCTAACATTAAATTTTACATTTAAACTGTATTTGGAGCATACTGTATAAAATAATGTTTGTATTAAATATCACAAATAGGGCAGAAACACCCATAGTGTGTTATAATTTCTTTTGAATTTACATAAATATAATATAGATACCATAGTTTTCAGGTGAATCCTCTGGAATAGTTTATATCACTACAAGTTTGGAAACCACTGGTTTAGGTGTTTTGTTCACAGGGACGTAGAAAACAGTGACACTTGAAATGAAAAAAATAAATTGATTGGAATTGAGGTTATTCAAACCTGTTTTACAAATAACAGAAGATTTCTCCATCTCTAATTGTAACACCTGTAATGCAATTTTTGTAGTTGCATTTTGCAACACTTTTAACCAGATGTTTTATTGTAACATACTAGGCCATTTTCCTTATGTAACACACAAAGAAGAATGACTGATTCTAGTCTTGTATGATTTTGTGTATTATTTAATGTATTCTTTGTAAATAATATTCCCCTGATCCCTACTAGTGTGCTTGTCATATTTTAGGTCTTTCATTTATAATATATGGCCCATCACTCTGTCATATTATTTGTACCTTGTTGCTACAGACTCATCAGTAAAACTGATGCCAATTACAGGAGAGACCTCTCTTCCCAAAATAAGAAGCAGTATGTGTTGATATTCAAATTGTCTTTATGGTTGTCACACACATGAGTGAATTATGTACCTTGGAATATAAGCTATAGGCACTGGCAGAATGCAGACTTTGCAGAATCTAATTCAGCAGGTTACTTTGTGCATTGGTTATGTTTCTTATACAAACTAATTTACATTTTTGTGTAAATACTTGAGCTTAGTATTATTTTGCTTCAGTTTTATGAAGTACCCGTTACAAAATGGACACATTAAGTGATGTTTGATTTCAGGTTGTCAAGGTGACGAGTATGAAGGTGGCTCTTGGGATGTTGTGCAACATCCCATAATACAGATATGTTCATATTTGTTGACTGTGAGGTCCTGAAATCTCACCTGGTAAACCTATATGTGGAGGCTACTCAACGTGACATTTATAGCTTTAAAACCCTTCAAATAAAGAAAGCCAAGTGACTCTGACCCCTTTCCATGGTTGTTGACACTGGGAAGAATTGCAATTGAGCAACAGAAAGAATGAACTTGAAGTGCTGTATTTTGAAAATTCAGGATTTGTGTATTCTGTTACAACTAAAATTACAGTGGTTTCTTGTCATCTAGGCACAACTTATGACAACATATATCTTTATGCCTAAATTCTCTTACAGGACCTAATGCCAACACATCGGAAACACTTGTACAGCCATTATCACAATTTAAAATTTCAAGAACCATTTGGGTAAGTCACCTTTGTGACAATCTATTACGTTGTTTCTAATTTATTTTTTTGCTTTGGATTTTCTTATTGATTGAGGTTGAAATGATGTGTTTGCAAAATAAGTAATATATAGTTAAATTGCGGCTGCCTGAAGCAAGAGGTCTCTTGACTTAGATTCCCCCTCCACCCCGAGGGCCAAAGTAACTAAACCCAGAATATTTTATGGTTGTCAGGATAAAGAGTGTTTACGTAAACTTATTAAACGGTAGAATATTTTATACGATAAGTAGTATTGTAGTAGACCCAATTTTGTTGTACTTTTGAGGCGGCTGCCTGTTTATCTATTTCGAGGAAAGGTCTGCTCCCTTGTGTGTGAATGGCGCAACAGCCACCAGTCCAAAGCCGGAGAGCGGGACGGGACGACACGACCGGGTGAGTGTGCCAAATTATCGCAACTAACCTTCAGCTGAGAGAAAATAAGACTTAAGTAAGGACCGTTACAACCTTAAAGACTTATACTTAGATTCATTATTGGCATTGTTTTATTTCATTCATAATTTTGTACTTCAGTGCGAACAACGGCGAAGTCGCCAACGGACTAAAATGGCACAATATTAATGTAAGTATTATTTCACGTGTACAGCAATTTGAGAACATGTACAGACATCGTTCATATTGTAGCTGCTATTATTTTATTCCCGAGTTTAAGTAAGTTAAAATATTGCAATTAGGAACGTCAGAAGTGTCTAAAGCAGTTACACTTTAATGAGTATATAATTTAATTTGCGTGTAGCGGAGTACGTGTTGGAAGGAATAAGGGTGATTGTGGATTTTCTGTAAAACGGGGAAGCTAATATTCACTTACGGATTGGCTTTAACATACATAACGGAATGAAATCAGCTGTCAAACTGGAAGGTTATATGAGATAATATAATATATGATGTGATATAAATAATGGGGTGCAATATTAAGAGGACATTAGTGTGGTATTGTCATTAATGTGCATACCCTGATAGGATAACGTAGTATTACAAAGGGCAACTTTCATAAACTTCAGCGTATATTCAGTAAAGTTCCCTCTTTATTAGACGACACTTTGGTTAATGTAAAAGTATGAAGAAGATCCTTTCAAACAGATGTTTTGAAATGAGAGTTTACATAAAAATAGCAATGATGATGAAATACTGTTTTAAAAATTATCAAGCCTACCAACATATCCACTCCGCTAAAAGTAACGACACTTTTCATTTGGTGGAAAGTCATTCAGTCAGACTGCTGACATTTTATGGCACGAAGTAGACGGCAGGCAAATATGTTAGACGTACTATCTTTTAGAGGAGGAAAGTGATAATGGATGTTGCAGAATATTAGGAGATACAGTAAGAAAATGAACAATAAAGAGTAAATTCGGTGGTTTCAAGAAGTGGGGCGATGTGGAATTCGCATCCAGTGGCGGGCTGTTTCGAAGACGGCCGGTCATTTTCGTGTTACGTAAAAGGCGGATAACTTGTTCACCAATGAAGGTATCAAATAAAAATCTCAAATAGGCCTGTCTTACGGCTTAGAAAAAACTTCACCTAATTACACCTGAAGGCCGTGTTCTTTCCTATATAAATGAGTGTGCCACCAGTAGCAATTGTGGAAAGCTGTAGGATAATTTGCAGTTGTGCATCCCCCACTGGCCTAGATGCTGATTTACTACAGAAAGAGCCTCCAGATCTGGTAAAAATGTACCGACTCCGACCTCGATGTAAAATCTTAAAAACAATTTCTATACCGTGTGAGCCGACGGCGGGCTAACGCTTAGGGAGATACAACGACCCGTTGAGACACATGGTGTGGGAATAATGCCTTGTAACTTTAAATCCGGTACCTTAAGAATACAAACTGTCTACAAATCAACCGATTTCTGCAATAACTATTAGACGTATATTTAAATATGGATTATAAGTCTAAAAAGTAGGATGATGATTCACGTGGTGGTGATGAAATCTCTTATGGTGCAATTTGCCATTTTAGTAGGTTTACGCTTATTAATACATATTGAGCTTTTATGAAGGGGTTGGAGTCGGATATTTTGGTACCGATACCACAGCCCTGGACACGACAATATAAGTACCGGGGTTTTCCGATTAGAGGCCTTTAAAATTTTCAAGGTATTTCGAAAGTAGTTTTTTCAAACGCATTATTCTACCGATCTGCAGGGATCTCAGTGTCAATAAACATGTTAGCTTGAGGTCACGCACAGGCCACTGTCATATCTTAGTCACGATAATATCAGTTTGTTGGTTTTCAGAATAGAGGTTTTTAAAGTTCTCAAGGTTATTGGAAGGTCATTTTTTCAAACGCATGTTTCTGCCGATCTGTAGGAATCTGAGTGACTATACTCATGTTACTTTGAGGTAACGGACAGGTCATCATCATGTCATAGTCACGGCAATAAAAGTACCTGTGATTTTCGGATAAAGGCCTTTGAAAGTTTCAAGGGTTTCGAAAGTCATTTTTATCAAATGCATTTTTCTTGCAGATTGCTTGAATCTGAGTGACCATATTTATGGCCGTTTGAGGTCACTCACAGGTCACCGTCTTGGCATAGTCAAGAGAATATAAGTCCCGGGGTTTTCCGGAGAGAGGCCTTTAGAAATTCAAGGTCATTCGAAAGTAATTTTTTCCAAACGCATATTTCTGCCGATCTGTAGGAACCTGAATGACCATCCATATTCATGTCAGTTTGAGGTCAGGGATAGGTCAACGTCATCTCAAGATTACGACAAGTTCAGTCTGAGGTTTTGAGGAATATATTCCTTTAAAGTTTCCAAGCTCACTTCAAGAACATGTTAGTTTGTTAGCCAATCAGGAATAAGTTGTCTTCTTCTGAATGTGTATTAACCCCGTTGTTGAGGGTTGCACTCTTCACTTAGATTTCAGACACTTGGACTTCGCAGACTTCACTTCGATTTCTTACTTCAAACTGTCACCTGGCACATTTTGGAAACTTAATTGGAAAACTTCACAAAATACAAGTACATTTCAGATATCTAAGGTACCAAAAGCACGCAAATGGTTAATAGCTTGACTGAGATATCTTATAAACGTATCATTTACTTCTGTAACCTCATTATTGAACGAGTGTCAATAAATAGTTGTGAGTTCCTCAAAACTTGAATCCAAGTTATCATTGGCTGATGGGAACCAGGCAGTTAACACGACCCGAGATAAGAGTTCACACACCGACGAGCTATGACCCAGTAATCATACACCCTGAGATACCCACATCGCCCTTGGGAGGAGAGGCAGCTCCACGGGGTTACAACCAGTGGACGGTTACAACAGTGTCCTGTAACTCCTTTTATTTAGGCTGGTAACCTTGTGATTGGCTGGCAAAAAGTTCTAGAAGCCATCTCACTGGCTGGGGTCCAATATCGTGGTCTAAATGCATGTGGTCAGAACGAATATGCAATAAGTAAAGTGCGAGTTAGTTCTCAAGCAGAGCGAGTAACCAGGCGGGGGCTTCAGTTGAAGTTTATTGTCCGTATCCCTTTGTCAGAATAAAAAAGCTTATAACATAGGGGTCTATTCGCAAAGTCATTTGGACCTGAGTGCACTGATATGGGACTTTAGAAATCTCATGAAGTATGTACATGGAAATAAAAACAAATTTACGAAAATCAGTAAAGTTTCAGAACGATCAGAAGGTAATACCCAGGCATTTGCTTGGAGGGACTGAGAAAACAACGAAGAAATCAATACGTGACACAAAGCGATCACCTTTCGAACTC